ATTTTTAACGCGTGCGTCGATGCCCACATCTACTTTACCAGCCATTTCGAACTGCCTTCCATCGGACTTTGATCGTTTGGCTTTGCTGTTCTGGGAACATGAAGATGGCGGCAACATGTTCGGTGCTGAATGGCTCTTCGCAACCAGCGACTAAAAATTTTAGATGAAATTGAAATGAATAAATCAGCATGTAAAGCTACAGGCTATTAGCAAAATGTTGTCAGACTGAAGAGAGTTGTGGCGAAGCGCATTCTAACAGAATTGGCAAGTTTATTTATTCACTGAAAACATCTTCTATGAGCTATCCGGCTTTGCGCTATCTAACTCCTGCGGGCTCAATTGTTTTGACCTTATCCTTTTTTTCACATTTCAAAGCGCCACGAGGAATTCTATTTTCTTGCATGAGGTCAAAGTCAAAACCGCTATGTATTCACTTCGTCTGAGAGACGAAGGCACTCGTAAGTGTTCCGAGGATACCAAGAAATCTCTCGTTGATAGGATTGTCGATGGTTTTATTATTCTTCGGCCGTTTACAAGCAATCTAATGATAGGGTTGACTGCATCGCATAGCAAGTACTAATTAGCCATCGAAATGATGGAATGAATAGTAGAAGGGTTGTTGTCTAGTTGTGGAGTTGAACCCCAAACTTATTTTATATGCCAGCACTGCTTGCCGCTGGGTCATGCCTTCAACTCTTGTATGCGCTAAAAGCTTCATAAACTTAGACTATTTGAGAATTGGCAATGTTGACCATTTGTGGTTTAAGATTAACTTGTGGTCGAACACTGAGATTCCACTGAAGAGCGCCCAACGGGTTAGACCACGAAATGCACTGCCAAATTGCCGACAGCGTTAGAAGTACCACTGTGATCTAGAATTCAAAATTTATAAAAAAAGAAACGAAAACACTGAATGAAAGAAAATCAAATGAGTTTACTACCATTAAGATTGAGAAAAACTATGAATTTGGCACAAAATTTGACACTTCTGAAAATTATATGATCCGACAATCATTTGTGATGACCTCGCCACGAACTTTATAAAATGAAAAGCGCGGCAGGCGTATTTCTCCATCAGAAAAAACTGTTGCTTTGATGCCCTTGGTGAGAAATGAGTGGAGCGGGAGTGTAAGTGCATGCAGCAGCTTCAGATGGAATATCATAAATGCAATGATTATCCACAGGCTGCGTCCGATCCATGACGAGAAGCACAGATACTGAAACGCTTCAAATATTTTCGAAGTTGAGCTAAGTATGGAAAATAGAACTAATATTTTGCACTGAATGTAAAATTCTGCAGAAAGGAAGCAGAGTTTTGCGAAATTCGGCCAGACGGATTAAGCCAGAAATTCTAGCTTTTAAAGTGTTGATAATAACTGAAAAGTACTAAATGGCGCAAGAAAGCTGCTTAATCAGATTTGCGATGTAGAAGTGCTGAAAATACCTGAAGGAGTCCGGGCTCCCTCTATTGGAAGCTCGTGCGCAGTATCGGGAAGAACAAATTTTTGTACATTTTGTGCTGCGGCAGTTGCACAAAGCGCGTCGAGCCTCCGTCTGTCTGAGTGCGTTTGTGTATATATATGTATGTGTGTTTTTATCCGGGGTTTTCAACTCGAGAAACAGAGAAGCTAGAAGCTGGAATTTTAAGGAAAGGGTAGGGGAGAAGGCCCTATCTGCGACCGTGTACTCTCGAACCCAAATTAAGCGCCCCCATGCGCCTAGGCTTCAAGTACGGCCACGTGAAAGTTTTGGTGCCTAAATTAATAATTTGGAAATCACAAAAGCTAGGAAGTTGAAATTTCAGAAGAATGCTCTCTGTTCGAGTATAAAGGCCCTCCTGGAGAGAATTGTACGAGTTCAGCTGAACGGGGTTGCACAAAACGCATGACGGCACCAGTTAGTCTGAGGCGTGCCGCTATTTATTTTTTCAAGCGGGTTT